ATATATATATACTGTATATTGAATTTCATCCATAGCTACATGAGCTGAAAACATAATATGAAAGATAATCTATTGAATACTAATATATGTTTCTAAAAGATATTTCTTGACAAAATTGGATTAGCAGATTAGGTGATTTAAAACTAAGGATCCTAATGATTCTATATTCGATTTTATTCAATTTCAGCTCTTATAATAAATTTAATAGATGAGTTATAATCCACTTATATTTTTTATATGTATGCAAGTTCATATGAGTTTATATGATTCCAATTTTCAGAACTATATTTAAAACTAATAGCAGGATTTTCACCTTCTAGATTAATTCTACCTGGTATATGGATCTATTTATGAAATATAATTAAGTTAGCTTAATAGGCTAGAATTAATTTATATAATATATAAAAGATTATTAATATATAACTATAAACTCTATTTAATAAAGTTTCATATTTACTGTAATACTTGTTAGTATCAATAAATAAATAAATAAATAAATAAATAACAATAGATCTATGGATCTATAGTATAATAATAATGTTTAATAAGTTATTAGAAGAAGATTTAGGATTTAAACTTATTTGATTACAAAAAATATATTATAAAAATTCAATTAAGCTATATAAAAATGAAATTTTTGATCTTTTTAATAATTGCAGAGTTGTAATAAATCATATAAAAAAAGAATTGTATAAAAAAAAACTTCTAATTTAATTTTGATTAAACTTAACAATTGTGTCACATAATAATAACATATTTAATACTATAGATTGAATTATAAATTATCTTAACCAATTCTACTTGACTTATATATTAAAAAAAAGTATAATCAATTCTGAAAAGATTATTGATATGGTTATCAAAGTATAAGAATATCATAATTAAAAAATATTATTTACTATATAAGAGTTATATTTTTGCTTAATATTTATACCTCTAAATTTAATAGTTTAAACCAATTAAATTCTTTTGGAATATCTATTAAGAGATATTGGAATTACACTTTATTTATCTTTAGATCCTTAGATTTTATAATTTGTATTAAATAAAAATTATAGCTTTTAAAATATTTATTAAAAAGTATAATAGATATATTAATTTTTTTTTAATTCTATACTTGTATAAGCTGAAAATGTGATATAAAAGATATAATTTATATTAATATGAGTTTTAATTTTATAAATACTTATTATTTTATAAAATAATTAGGTTAACAGATTAGAATATTTAAACTAGTAATAGGATTTTTACCTTTTAGATAGATCTCTCCAAAAAATATAAACTTATTTCAAGAGTATTATTAATATTATAAAGTAAAATAGATTAGCATTTAGCTATAATCTAATATTATAGATAATATTTGATATAATTGTAATATTATATATATATTAATAAATGATTGACATTTAATATCTATTCTACAAAAAATTTTTTTATTAAATTTGATTTAAACCAATTATAAATAATAAATTTAATAAATAAATTATAAAGCAACTCTACATTAATAATTTTAATTCAATATAATATAATCAATGTATATTGTTTTTTTGAAAAAAGTAAATTAATTATAATTTTTGACAAGTTTTTAGAAATTTAAATAAAACAAAAAAATATAAAGCAATAATACTGTATTATTAAATATTTAAGTTATATAATTATATGGTTTTAATATTTTTAATAGAAATTAAAATTAAAGTTTTAATAATATTATTTTAATATTAAATTTAATATTAATTTAATAAAATAATTTATAATCTATATATTAATTTATTAAAATTAGTATTATTTTAATACTATTTTGATATTAATTTAAAAATATAGCTTGATTTTTAACAAAGTAAATTTTTATATAATTGATGTTATTAATTATATTTTTTTTTATCAAAATTTTCTTATATTTAATTGACTTGATATACAATTATTAATTATAAAAAAATATATCTAGTATTTTTTTTTTTTTTTATAGTAGAATGGCATCAAATACATGGTTTTTATTGAAATATTTATCAATTTTTACATATACATCAAACATCGTCTATTGTTATTACAACAGCTAAATGCTAGCCTATCTACTTTTTATTACCCCAGCGATATTAACGCCACTCTTAGAGTGGATTTATATAAAATATATCTAGTATTTTAAAATAATAAAACTTATTATTTATAAGAAATTTTAAATTTTTAAATCAAAGTAATATTAGCTTGATTTTGCGGTAAATGTTAAATATATGAAGAAGAGAAGTAAAGGGAAAAAGAAAAACCTGCCTAAAAAGAAAGTTTTTGATAAAGTAAGAATAGGTAAGTAAAAAAGAGTTTTTTAATATATCACTGTTTGGTTTAATTTATGTCATATTTAATATTTAAAAAATATATAAGAATATAACAATAAAAAAAATAGCAATATGTAGTAATAAAAATACGATATTTAACAAATTTAACAAATTTTACTGTATATTAAAATTCAGTATGATAGCAATAAACAATTTTTTTATGTAACGTCGATTAATCACCTTTTTTCCAGGTTCATTAATAAAGTTAAAGGTTTTATTTTTGTAGCTATTTTTCTTTTTTAATTAGTAATTCTTGAATATAGATTGAGTATTTTTATAGATGGTTTTTTTTTAATTTTAATTTTGATAAGTAAATATCCTCACTCTATTGACTTACAGTATATAAAGTGAATTTTTAAAATAATGCGAATTATTCTAATATTTATTTTTTTTACCAATAATAACAATAATATATTTAAAAATAAAATAATTTATGAAAAATTACTTTCATGCGGTGATATGAATTCCTTAATCAACGAATATACTGTACGTATTTTATGCTGTGGTCAAAGATTTATTTCGCATTATCATTACTGTTTTTAAGAAAAATAAAAATAAAAAAATTATTACTTTACATTTGACATTATATCTTTTAAACGTCAGGCGATTAGATCAAAATGGTGAACAATCTTCATCTCATCAATTGTGGATAGGTTGGTGAAACGTATCTTAATTCAACGTACTATTGGATTGAGTCTTTGATTTTCCGAGTCCAATCTCGATTTAATGTCTTGTTATGTAATTCATGTACACGCACCGTATCCTTTTATTTCAGAGAAAACATTTGCCCACATTACAAGACCTCTTATTGTTCTTCAAGACACCACCCGAGAAGGGAAAATGACACTGCTCGCGCAGCAATGGGCGACTTAACCATAATCGGATAGTGCCATTGTTAAGCTCTTGCACGCTAGCGAACATCGTAACATATCATTATAGTAGGTGCGAAGACAATCAAGACAATCGTGACGTCGGGAAACAATAAGAGAAAAAACGTGGTTCTAACTTTTCGTGCTGGGCATAAATTTAATGGCATGGTAAATTAACGTTGAATGGACAATGCAAATCGCAAATATTTATTTCTGATTGAGTGACACGGAATTGTTTGTGATGGCTAAAACGCCACAAAAAGAATTTTTTTTTAGAAAGAAACAGTCGGTTTGTTTGAACCGTGTCAATAGTGCAAGTAGTGCAAGGAGGTAAACAATCAGTCATTCAGATCAATAAAACTTTAATGATTATTATCCGCTATACATCATTACATACGAACGAGCAGTGTGAGAATATTAGGGAAAATATGGATTATTCGTTCATTACTTACGTAATAATAGGAAAATCCCTATGCTTTAAATTATGCACCAAGGACTTCATTGCACACCAATGCGCGAAAAGAAACGACCAATTTCGACGCGTCTTCCTTAATTTTTTTCGAGGTCAAGGAAGTGCGGTGTAACGGAGAAAAGGAACATTTTGTTCTTGCATCAATGAGCACAAGGTGGGCGTTTTTTAATACATAAGAGTTTCGTTAAATGTTGTTCTTGTTTCCAAACGTGTAACACCATAGGATTATGAGGTTGCCGTAATCGGTAAAAATCTTTTGTTTGTATATGGCAGGTGAGAAGAAAATGGTAGGAAATTTGCAGTGTCAACCGGTTTTCGCAAAAACAAACAAACAAATCCAACTCGCCTTGAACCTCGGCAAGGTTTGTATGACGCAAGGAATGTGTAAATAATTACACGGCCGAAAAGCAATCTAGAAGTGCACGCATCGGTACTCGTTTCAAAAAAAGGTTCTTGGAACAAAATTTGGCTGGCTAGTGCTTTTGAGCGTCGTCGATTAAGCGATCGAATTGCTTATTTTGTTTGCCATGAAAATTTTCCGAATTGCCCTGAGCGAATGTTGGACGAATATCGGTCGTGATCGTTCATTGGACGACTTCATCGTCACTCCGTTAAACGAAAAGTTCCTCATCGTCATCATTTCACACAGTCAACGTTGCCCATGCACGTTTTCCTCAACACAGTTTACCGCGAGATTCATTTTGGAATTTCTTAAACTTTATTATGTGTTAAAATTAGAATCAGTCGGACATTACGAAATCCCAAATATGCCCATTAGCCTCCAAACTTGAATAAAGAAAGAAAGAGTTTATTGTGTTTCGGACAATCATGCATCATTGGTAATCATTACATTATAATGAGGTCTTGTGATCATTGTTCCAAAATGTCGATTTGTTTGTCAGATGATCAACCTTAAAAAAGCATCATTGGGTCATGCCCGTTCGCCCTCGTTGGTTGTTTGTTTGCATTCTACATGTTCGGCGAGTTACTGCGTTTATGTGTGTGGCAAATAGAAAATTTCGAGACACGCCGTGTAAATATTTGCATTAGATAATGACTCTAAATAAGTGACCTCTTAAAAATTAGGAATTGGCTGTTTGTATTTGTAAACAATTTTCGCACACGGCGGGTTGTTATGTCAATGCTTGGGTGACTCAGTAACAAATAACAATCCGACCAACCAACAGCATCTCGTACGAGGAATAACACGTTATATGTGCGATTGTTTTTCGGGAAAAAAAAACAAAACATCGGCTTTCGTAATAGCCATTCCATACGTTCCTGCGTTCTCCCGTTTTTGATAGAGAATGGAGTGTACTGTAATTAAAGTTATTTGTTGTAGCCACGGAATGTGCCCACAATAACTAATGTTAATGGCAGCAATGAAATGATACACGAGTTTAACTTATCAGATAGTTCGGCAAAATCTAAAAACTTTAGATAAGCATTGAGATTAACTGGACGCGTATATTTAGAAATGTTAGCATTTAAGCTATATTCATATAGGCAAATTTCGGCATGTCCAATTAGCCCCGGGTTGGAGATGCTCACCTCGAATGATGATACGTCACCCAGGCATGTCGCACATACAGGAATACCCCACAATTTACTTATTAACATAGCATTGAAATCGGGTTTTTTTTTAAAAAAAAAGCTTGTTTTGTTATTTCATTGATTAAAAGAGAATGCAAATGAAAAAATAATAATATTTTTCTTTTTTCATTACATATCGATGTCGTGTATTGTTACCAAATGCAAACATTGCATCTAACGTGATCAAAATAACTTTGTATGTGTGATCTTGATTTTACCTGTATTCTCAAGATTGATACAACCAACCTCTTGGGCACATAGTTGTTGTTGTTATACGAAAGAAGGATGAAAAGAAGGTTATCTTTTTTTTCTTTTTTTTCTGGTCAAGAATCAAGATAAATTTGATCGGAGCATTGTAATGTCACTTTTAGGAATTGATCAACGAAAGAGAAGGTCCTCCTTACCAAGATCAATCGCGGCATTGAAAAAAACAAAACAAAACAAACCGAATTCTACCCTATCTTTTTTGTTTTTTTTGTGCAATAGTACAATAGCGAAATTCAACAATGTGGCTGCAAGGAGGAAAATGGATGATTTAAGATGTATT